GGTAAAGGAGGAGGGTTGGGCATGGGGTTAGCGTCCCCATCCCGTAGAAACCTAACTCGCTAAAAAAACGCTAACCAGAAAAAATAACTCAAACCATTTAAACTCTGCCCTGGGAGTTAGAGGTAATATGACGCTTCATGGTGAAAGCCGAGTTCCTTCGGAAGCCACGAGTCCGATGCCCCTTCTAACAACCAGAGCAACAATTTTTATAGGTACATGGAACGTCCGGACAATGTGGGAGAACGGGAAGACCAATCAAATAGCAACGGAAATGAGGAGATACAACTTGGCAGTACTGGGAATCAGTGAAACCCATTGGACCCAAGCTGGACAACAAAGGCTAAATACGGGAGAGATGCTGCTATACTCCGGTCACGAAGAGGAAAATGCTCCACACACTCAGGGAGTTGCTCTAATGCTATCCACAGTAGCACGAAATGCACTTGTAGGATGGCAATCTCACGGATCCAGAATCATCAAAGCATCATTCAAAACAAAGAAGGAGGGGTCACAATGAACATTATTCAATGTTATGCACCCACCAATGATAGCAACGACGACGTTAAAGATCAATTCTATGAGAGGCTGCAATCAATCATAGAGAAGTGCCCAAGAAAGGACCTCACCATTCTGATGGGAGATCTAAACGCCAAAGTCGGAATGGACAACACTGGATATGAAGACATCATGGGACTACATGGACTGGGAGAGAGAAACGAAAACGGGGAAAGATTTGCAAATCTGTGTGCATTCAATAAATTGGTCATAGGCGGTACAACATTTCCACACAAACGTATACACAAAGCTACGTGGATCTCACCGGACCACACCACAGAGAACCAGATAGATCACATTTGCATCAATAAAAAGTTCCGAAGGACAATGGAAGATGTGAGAACCAGGAGAGGAGCGGACATAGCTTCAGATCATCACCTGGTTGTGGCCAAATTGAAACTGAAGCTAAAGAAGAACTGGACAACTGGACAAACAGCACCACAAAGGTTCAATACAGCCTTCCTTCGAGATACTGACAAACTCAATGAATTCAAGGTAACTCTCAACAACAGGTTCCAAGCCTTACAGGATCTACTGAAGGAAGAAGAAACTACTATGGAGGATAGCTGGAAAGGTATCAAAGAAACATTAACTTCAACGTGTCAAGAGGTTCTGGCCCCAAGAAGCATCATCACAAGGAATGGATCTCTACAGAAACACTGGACAGGATCAAAGAAAGAAAAAACAAGAAGACAGCAATTAACAACAGTCGAAGAAGAGCAGAGAAAGTCCAAGCACAAGCAGAGTACATAGAAGCAAACAAGAAAGTGAAGAAGAGCATTAGAGCTGATAAGCAAAAATACGTGGAAGAACTAGCAACGACGGCGGAAAAAGCTGCAAGAGAAGGAAATATGAGACAGCTTTACGATACGACGAAGAAGCTTGCAGGGAAATACAGTAAACCAGAGAGATCAGTCAAAGATAAAGAAGGAAGACCGATCACTGAGATTCAGCAACAGCGCAACAGATGGGCAGAGTACTTCGAGGAACTCCTGAACAGGCCGGCTCCAATGAATCCACCGGACATCGAAGCAGCACACACAGATCTTCCTATAAATGTCAACCCACCAACGACAGAAGAAATCAGAATGGCCGTCAGACAAATCAAGAGCGGGAAAGCAGTAGGGCCTGACAATATACCAGCTGAAGCGTTGAAGTCAGACATCGAAGTAACTACAAGCATGCTTCATCTTCTATTCAAGAAGATTTGGGAGGCGGAACAAGTGCCGATGGATTGGAAAGAAGGACACCTCATCAAGATTCCAAAGAAAGGAGATCTGAGCAAGTGTGAAAACTACAGAGGCATTACACTACTGTCAATACCGGGTAAAGTCTTCAACAGAGTGTTACTGAACAGGATGAAAGACGCAGTTGACGCTCAACTTCGAGATCAACAAGCCGGATTCCGTAAGGACCGGTCGTGCACAGACCAGATTGCGACACTACGGATCATCGTCGAACAATCAATTGAGTGGAACTCGTCACTCTACATCAACTTCATTGATTATGAGAAGGCATTTGACAGTGTAGATAGGAGAACGTTATGGAAACTTCTTCGACACTACGGAGTTCCTGAGAAGATTGTCAACATTATCCGGAACTCATACGATGGACTACAGTGCAAAGTAGTGCATGGAGGACAGCTGACAGACGCATTCCAAGTAAGGACCGGAGTAAGACAAGGCTGTCTACTCTCTCCCTTCCTGTTTCTTCTGGTGGTCGACTGGATTATGAAGACCTCGACATCTGAGGGAAACTACGGCATACGATGGACAGCTCAGAACCAATTAGACGACTTGGACTTCGCAGATGACATAGCCCTCCTATCACATACACACGAACAAATGCAGATAAAGACAGCCAGCATAGCAGCAGTCTCTGCATCAGTAGGCCTCAACATACACAAAGGGAAAACCAAGGTCCTCAAACACAACACGGAGAACAGCAATCCAATCACTCTTGATGGCGAAACTCTGGAAGATGTGGAATCCTTCACATACCTGGGAAGCATCGTCGATAAACAAGGAGGTTCAGATGCAGACGTCAAGGCGAGGATTGGCAAAGCTAGAGCGGCATTCCTTCAACTGAAGAACATATGGAACTCAAAACAACTTTCAACCAATATCAAAGTCAGAATCTTCAATACGAACGTCAAGGCAGTTCTACTGTACGGAGCTGAAACTTGGAGAACTACAACAACCACCATCAAGAAGGTACAGGTATTTATTAATAGCTGTCTACGCATGATACTCAACATCCATTGGCCGGATACCATCAGCAACAGCCTTTTGTGGGAGAGAACCAACCAGCTTCCAGCTGAAGAGGAAATTAGGAAAAGACGATGGAAATGGATAGGACATACATTGAGGAAATCATCAAACGGCATTACGAGACAAGCGCTAACTTGGAATCCTGAAGGGAAGCGGAAAAGAGGAAAGCCAAAGAACACATTACGTCGGGAAATAGAAGCAGATATGAAAAGGATGAATAAGAACTGGAAAGAGCTTGAAAGGATTGCCCAGGACAGGGTTGGATGGAGAATGCTGGTGAGCGGCCTATGCTCCTTCACGAGGAGTAACAGGCGTAAGTAAGTAAGTAAGAAGCAGATGGCTGTAAAGGAACAAGAAAAACATTTTAATACATGAAGACCAAGGGAAAAGAAGAGGTTGTGTCAGTCTTTTTTGTACACATAATTCTGGGCCTTTTAAAAGAGATACTTATCAAAATCGGGTATCCTTCGATATTCGTTGCTAAGAACATGAAGTCGAGAACTCCAAAAACGCAAATAATTACAGTAGAAAAGAAAACCTTATACATGAACATCGACTTCAAAGGAGATAGAGCCACATATGTCTTAAAGAGGAGAATTTCGGATTTCTCAAAAAGAACATTCTTCGCAGCAACATTGAAAATATTATTCTCCAGCAGATCATCGTTTACCAATAATCTGAAAGATAAATTATCGCATCTGACCAACTCAATGTGCATTTACCAATTTACCTGCTCATGTGGAGCTAGGTATCTAGGTCGTTCGATGCGTACTTTATCCAAAAGAATTCAAGAACATTGTCCGGCGTGGCTAAAGAGGAGGCAACGGCTTAGTAAGAAGTTCTATAATCGAACACCTTGTGAACACAGGTCACTCAATCAAGACAGACTCTGCGTTCAAAGTCATCTACAAGGTAAGTAGAAGTCTTCCTAAGGCAAATAGACCAAGTATGTCCGTTGAATTCATTTGATAAAACTTTGCCATGCTGACAACCATGACCTACTCTAAGGTCCTTGAAATTTCTATACTGCTTTAAGCAAATGATCACAGAAACTAGCAAAAGTAAGTCTGTAACCAGAAAAAGTAATGAGATGTTAATGTATATAGTGGCAGAACACTAGTGGTTTACAATACATTCTGGGAGTGTTCATAGCGTTGATGTTTAGTAACATTATAAAGCGCATAAAATCCGAGCAATAGTTACTCCTCAGCGATCCCGTAGATGTAACTGTTGTGCTCGTTCGGGACCTTCGGTAAACAATACATAAGTTATAATGGTATGTAAATTGTTAAAACTCACAAGGAGTGTTGATAGCAAACATTCAACTTGATAGCTGTACATAAACTAGTTTTAACTGGGCTCTTGTTTGTTGAATGTAAACAATTACGAAGGAATTCTGGATTGCCTTTTTGGTGACTTCATCCTTAATATTGGCAAAAACCTCTCAACTTTCATCAAAATACATGTTATGACTATAATTATTAACAAAATGTTAAGACAAACGCCAGTCCATCTCAACAATTATCGGTCCAATAGAGTATCCCTGGTCAGCAAAGACCATCCGAAGTGGTTAGCATAAGGCAATCTACAAGACAAACTACAGAAAGTGACACTTAGTTAAATGGACTTGAAATGAAAGAATAACTCCTGTAATTTCACTTGTCTAATTCGATCATCCATACTGATTTATCTGGTTTACATTACACATAAACAATCCTGAATTATTTGTGAAAAAGTACAAGGGAAATAATGAAAACAACTGTTGTAAAACCTACGTAATAATCAGTGTCGAGCTATGTTAAGGCTCTAATTTGGAGGAAATATTTGTTGACTTAGCTTAATTTCTATTTTTACACGCAAGTTTGTTCGAGTGTTGTCAAGCAAAAGCAAAGTCAGTAATGAATTGACCAGAAAATCACTTATTTACAACTTATAAAGTGAATAACAAGATCGAAAACAAAAAAAGTTCTGAAATTACGATAAAACCAGATTTTAAAAATACCGTAACTATACAATTATCTTCTTAATATTGTGTACAATATATATATATATAAGGAAGATTCTGAAAGAGACTGGAAGATCCACAGAAGTTTATGTTAGTAACAGAAAATATAGGTACATCTGTTAAAATATTGTTGATCGAATAGTTAACAAAATAAAAATAAACAACTTCAGTTATCCAAAAAGTAATGCTTCAGTTTTCATATTAAGACGACCCTGACGTTTTATAGCAGCGCGATTATGCCGTTTGATTTGACGATTGAAGTCAACTTGTTTTTGACGTCTTCTTTCACGACGATTACGCTCACGAATTTCCTCAACAGTAATCAAGGCACGTTTCTAAAGCGAATTCACGAATTAAATTACTCAAATAAGGTAATTTTACTACATTATATGATATATATTTTATAAGAGAAAGGAAAAAAAGCCATGAAAAAATCACTACACATCAGATACTCGATGTATTGTTCTTTATACTTTACTATGTTGTGGAGCGGTGGCTTTATGGTCAAGACATTCAACTTTCTGCTACTAAGTCCCAGGTTCAAACTCCGTTCCACATACTTCGGTTTGGATGTCCGGGTAATACTATAACCACACACAATAAAGTACCTAGTGAATGAGTCGACCTACAACTTTCTCTCAAAACAGCAAGGCAATCGGAGGACACTTGGAACTATTCTGCAGAGTAGTTTGTCTATCACTCTTATCTAGATGATTTGAAAGCTGATTACTGATATCTTTACTCGCGATTCTTAATAAACCTAGAAGGCATTGAGCAATTTATTAATTATTGGCTTTCCAGAAAATCATATCTTATCATTCCTTCTAGAAGTTTAGGATATGCATTGATGACGCTCAATTAGAATTACTATTACAAAAGAATACATCATTCTCCCACATCTATTCATTTCTTTCTTGATTTTCTTCATTATATCTAACTGATTCGCAATATGTTCTCAACAACGATTACAGAGATTGAACGAATGTTTCGTCAAAAATTTGGTAAGGGTTATAGAATAAACGTACCGTTGTAATTGTCTCTTGCACACTGGTAATATCCTTTTCGTTATTCTTATTGTAGTTTATTTCCTCTGAATTAGATTTATCATCATCTTCAATTTGCGACTGATCATTTTCTTCAGAATCAGTAGTAGAATCGATGCTGTCCGAATCAGAGTTACAGGTATTTTCCTCAACTTCGCTACTTTCCAACGATGATAATTGAAGTCGAGCAACTGAACCTAAGAGTGAATCTTCTGTTGTATGTTGAGAATGGCGATTAGTAGCATTCTTGGAGATGTAACCCGGAGCTTTTAAATGCACGTCAACATCATCAATTCGTCTTCAAAAAAAGATGGAAAATGAAATTACTTAAAACCCAAAATCTGAAAGATATCATCCGCGAAATATGACGGAAGCCAATATCTTGGACGCAATCGGAAGTTGACTTATCCCCCGAAAGTTGTTACAGGAACGACGTGAACCCTGTTTAAAGATTTTATTTATTTAACACATAGATATCGGTACAAGAAGGCACCAAATACATATGCGCCACACAGATCTCTTTGGATATGTGTTAGGGCTGTGATACTGCCTGGGTGCCGAAACCGAAGCAGGTGATTTTCTTAGGGGGCCACACCCCGAACCTTCGACCTGAAGATCTGATCCACAAGGCAGTGGAACATCGTGAGGAGATGCAGTCCCATGGTAGCCAGTGACCAACAATTGGTTCATACGCCATTTGTTCACGCAGGATACTGGAGCTCATGTGCACCATTGGTTTGGGATCCGGTTAAAGCGCCGGAAATTCGCTTTTCGTCCTCTCATTTTTGTAAACAACACCCCCGCCACGAGAAGGCAGTGAGTAGGACTTCCCTGGCAGAGGCTATATACGCATGGCCATGTGAGAGCATTTCTAGAGGGAGAGCGGACCCTCCCCACTCTCTGCCGTACCAGGGCATTTGGGGGCCTTTCCAAAGATAGGGACAACTATCGACTCATTCCATGACGTTGGTACACTCTCTAGTTCACAGACCTTTGTAAACAACGCCGTCAGTTCCCTAGCCAGAAAATCACCACCATCTTTAAAAAGAGTCGGAGGTAAGGCATCCGGGCCCGGTGATTTGTAGCGCTTCAAGAGTTGGAGTTCCTTGCGGACTTCCGCCTCATTTGATGGATCAGTCGTCAACGGCCATGGAGGGCAGGACAGTCTAACCGATGTTGCCGGAGCAGTAGGCCAGTTGAACTGCCCTTCGTCCAAGACGTCGATGGATATTAGTGATTGGCATCCCGTCATCCTCGCAGATTGTTTCGCTCACATCAGACTTCTTGCTGCCAGTGGCTAGGATGAGTTGGAAGAGCCTCCGGTAATTACCAGATGCAGCTGCTGCTTCCAGCTCATTAGCACGCTCCGACCACCAGGCTTCTCGGTCCTTACGCAAGCTTTGCCCAATTTCAATACGTAACATCCTTCGTTTGTGGTCAAACTCACGGTCAACCGGAGTAGACTGACGGGCTTCAATGAGTTGTAAGGAGCCTGAAGAATCCCAGTGCTTGTAAGCGGGACGTTTCGCGAACCTACAAGTGACTTTACTCGCCATTTTCATGGCGTCATGCAATTGCAACCAATGCTCATATATACTTTTCGGTGGAATGGTAGCTAGCCTAGAAGCTAGCTCGGTTCGATACTTACTAGCAACAGAAGTTGCAACCAACTTGCTAACATCAATCCTTTGGTGGCGGTCACTTCGTTGGCCACTGAAAAGTAAGGTAAGATTGGCGCAGACCAGAGCATGATCAGAGTCCAGATAGGTACTCCAAAAGGAGCGGCAGTCTTGTACACAACCACGACAGCGGTAGCTGATCGCGATGTGATCAATCTGAGTCTAGGCTTGAGATGCAGAACGAGGACGCCAGGTGGTACATCGGCGATGACTGCCGAATGTTAGTGCTAGCCAGAAACAGGTTGTGGTCTGTGCATAGTTGCAGTAGACGTTCCCCGTCACCTGTCCTGCGACCAACAAGTCACCATCGGCCACCTAAACGACTCTCTTCTGTGCCTAAACGCCCGACCTGAGCATTCAAGTCTCCGGCTAGTACTACAATATCTGTCGAACGCACTTTCTGGAGAAGAACAGTTAACTGGTGGTAAAATTCATCCTTGATTACATCCGGGCTGCAATCTGTCGGGGCATAGGCGGAGATGACGAAAAGACATCGTTTCTCACGCCGATTTCTTCTCACTTTGATGGAACTTTCTAATCTAACAGCACATAGCCGACTGTTAATGGGGATACAGTCGACTAGTGATGCCTCAGCTCTAGCGCTTAGTGCGACACCAACGCCAGCAAGACCAGACGAAGATGCCACAGGGTCCCCGGATAAACGCACGTAAAACAAGCTTTTTAGAGTGACAAATGGAGAGCGAATTTGTAGTACTTCACTAGAGTCTTGAATATGGATCTCTGATAGACAACAAACGTCAATATTAAGACTTTCCAAAAACATAGCCAGCCTTATCTGTTGTCCGACCTGCATAAGTGTGCGAACGTTGAAGGCAACCAGTTTGAATGGTGCACGTGGTTTCACAAATACTGCTTCACTACTCGTATTCGGTGGTAACATACAATTTTCAACCAGGCAGTGACTCGAGAACGTTTAGATAGAGCCGAATTTTCACCATAGGCGAGCTGCTGTACAAGTCGGAAAATAAGGATAGATAGAGTAGGAATAAAAGGGAGTGAATGAATGACGCAGTAAATAATAATAATAATAATAATGCGAGTCATTTCATTGTTAGTCGGGGCGAAGAGAATATTTTCCATAAGTAGGCAGTTCATCATGTTTTGGTGTGTGGGCTGAAATACTGTTCGGGTGCCCAGACCGAAGCAGATGTATTTCTTAGGAAGCCACATCTGGAGCCTCCGACCTAAAGGTTCAACCCACAAGGCAGTGGAGCATCGTGAGGAGATGCAGTCTCATGGTAGCCTGTCACTAACAATGGGTTCACACACCATTTGTCATCACAAGATCCTGCAACACACGTGCACCATTGGTTTGTAATCAGGGTTTTCCAAATCCCCTAGGTGGACCCTCCATATCCACCAAACGGTTAAAGTGCCGGACATCCGCTTTTTGTCCTTTCGATTTTGTGAACAACACCCCCGCTGCAAGAAGGCAGTGTAGATGACTTCCATGGCAGTAGTTGTATACACGTGGTCATGTGAAAGTATTTGGGGGCACGAGACGGTATCTTGATGTGAAAGAAAGGTACACAGGACTGGCTTCTATAGTTCCTTCACCACTTTCTGGTTGAGGTCCTAGAGATAGTCCAACAGTGGTTTAAACGTTATCAAATATGACCCACAATAGAAGCCTGTTGCTGTCCTGCTGTAACTTTCTTTATAAAAGGAACGTTACTTCTTTAATTGAAGAAATTTTTTCTGGTTGCATTTTCCTAACTGGACTGCTTTCCCCATTATCATTATTTCACTCACTAATCTCTGTCTATGGTTGCTTTTCTTTTATTATACTCACCCTCCACTCTTTATCTCTTCACAGCCCTATTTTTATTGTGCATATGCATTTAGTGCTTCACTGTATCAATGTTTGTGTGTTAAAATAAATAAAAATAAGTCGCCGAAACAATAAAAAGGAAATGAGAAGAAACCTACTTTATAGAATCAAGGGAAGATGGTAGATCGTTGAGTGGAATATCGAAATAACGGCTGAAAAAGTTGACAACACCTTCTGCATCCCGTTCATATATGCTAGAGAAAAAGTAAGAAAGGAAACATACTGAGTGATAGAATATATACTCAACAATCTCTCAAAACGATGTTTTAATTTCTAACTCCTTGGACTTATAATGGACACTTAATGTAGAGATTAACACAACGGTTTATAGATGAATGTTGATAAACAGTACGATCGTGGAAATGGAAGGACTTAGCAGAAAGTGAGATTAAAAAGAAGACTCAGGGCAACAAAAGACGAAAGAAAAAATTAACTACTCTGACTAATTTCTCACCATCACTTAAAATTGACGTAATCAAATAACTCGAAAACCCAAAATTGTCAACCTGCAATTTAGCCATAAGACTTTAAACACCAGCCACAAAAAGTATTGTCAGCTTTGGTTGAAATAACTTGTTAGTACTTTTACACACACCGGGAAGAAATTCGAAGCCATAAATATGTAATAAGGTTTATTAAGCTATTTATGTTTATACTGACTTTTATGGTGCCTGAAACTTGCTAGTTTTATTACCTATGATACAACACATACCTATTGGTGGGTGAAAAATAGGAACTCTACTATTGTGTTCACGACAAATGTGCCAAACATTCTCGAACTTAATATTGTATTTCGGAAGACACTTTTATGGTGTTCGTCTGCTAGGGTAACAGGGTCTTAAAACATTACATTAATGAGACAATTAAGGAACTGATCCTGAAAGCACCAGAATTTGGAGATCACATTCAAAACGCTAATTAAGCAGAGAAGTGTGGTATACAGTGATCGTTATTGACATGAGCTTTAAATTTAATCTTAGGGCTGTGAAATCACTGTCTGACAGTTCCAAGTATGGTTAGCGAACTTTAAAAATCGAGGAAGTGTTCCAGGTCGAACATCTACATGTCAATCCATATTATTAATCGGATCATCGGTTTTAATGGGTTTTCAAGTGAATTTTGAACAGCCACACGAGAGAATCTCAGGATTGTTCTTAAAGCGACTGTGTCAACGGATGTTGAAAAGTAACAAGCCCTCAACTCAAATACAACACATTTCGACAAATTTCTTTCACGGTAATTTTTCACTCTAATTACTGCCTTCGGTTCCACCACCATTAGTCTGAGCCACATTGGTAGATGCAGACTACCTGGCTGGGTTTCGCGTGATAACTGCAATCAATAGGTGACATGACTCAGGATCGGTTATAGTGAAGCAGATACCTTTCCTCTTTATCTTATTTCAAATTGCGAGTTCTAGTATTCCTTCATATAGTTTCCCATTTCATCTTTTTGAACCATATTCTCCATATTAGGTCTTTCCCATTATTATTGCTGCCAAATTACTTTGTACTCCTGTCAATTTCATCGTGATAGTTTGACAATGAGGACTTCGGTCAATGCGTGCGTGTGGCAGGATTTGTGCTGATTATGACTGACCACTAATAGTCACAATCAATATGCAACCTGACTTCTGGCTGAGGCTGTCTACGTCTTGTATTTAATCGTTATCTCTTTATCGTCAAACAGTTTACATTCTGTGGAAATGCCATGTTAGTAATGTCAAGGTTTCGCAGTATATTTTTCAGCACAGTAACGATACTTCACTTAGTGTCACCATTATGAAACACCGACTTGGCGGGTTGACCATACTACTAATTTGAGGCTACATAATTTAGTATAACGAGGACTCCAATCAAACAGTGTTTGCTAACAAAATTAATCAGTGTGACATTCAATGAATCCGTAAGCTCATAAGTATGCTCAGCAACACTGTTTTCAAGGACTACGTCCCACTTTCGGTCGCATACGATCAACTCGACAATGTTTCTTAAACTGATCTTAGTAATCCTGACACCTCGTGTGCTAAGAGATCCACACAGAATTTTTGTTTCACGTCGTATTAAACTCGTGATAAACACTCAGATAATCTGAAATCTAACGACTACTTGAAATACCTTTGTAGGAGAAAACAGTAGCAAGACGAAAATACTTGCAATAAAGATTTTGCGCCCCAACACAACAGTAAGAACGGCCTGTCACCATTACGTTGGGATAGGATTAGTAGTGTTATGTGATAATTTCATGAACTTAGACCATTCTGTAGATTTTAGGTTTTGAACGTCATGGTTTCTGATGGATTCATATCGACAGTAACTTTGTTTTAATAACATCAAAAAACCATTGGGTAAAGCAGTAGCCCTACAAACAGCTTGTACTATCACAACTGAGTTGAAAACCATCATGACGTTTACGGACATTCTGGAATGTAACCGATATAAACATTCGAGAGAAGTACTTAGTTAAAAAAAGCTCACGTGTTAGCTAGTTTATGGTCACGGCTGATCATTTGAGGGAAGTCAATAAGTACAAGTTTGGGATTACTATTTTCTTCAAGGTCCAAATCGGAAACCATCAGGTTAAACTCATTCAGATCACCATGAACAAGACCAAGAGAAGCAATTCTTTTCAATATATTTTTGGCTTGATAGTAAAGTGATCGTGCAAAAGCAGACTCATTGGAATTCAAAATACTCGGAAGTATTCTGTAAAGTGGCAGGCTATCAGCAACATATGACATGACGACAGCATTTCGATTGTGGGTGTAAGGGGTAGGAACGGGGATACCATTATTTCGAAGGCTCTATGAAGCTCTATAGTGAAATGTCTACTTACCTGCATCATAACGAACTCGCGTCTAGATGCTAGACGATCCAAATACAACCAAGAGCAACTACTTCTGTGTTGATGATACTCTCGTTTTTCCTTTACTTTTCTGAAAGACGTTCTCCCAAGTCTGTGAAACTTAACAACGACCGCATCTCCTTCTTTTGGGAAATCATCCAAAAAACCTTCCGAGCCATCTGACGGACGCCCACATTGCGCACCAGCAGCAGCTATGTAGACATCAGATTCTTTTCCAGCCCCAATCATTGTTCCTAGACTTTTCAACTGTTCTGATTTGAAAAGTTGATTAAGGGCAAGGTAGTCGTAGCCCAAGTTGGTAAGACGATATCCTTTCATAGCTGGAAAAAAAATTGTCATTAGCCTTCAGGAACGCCAATATCATAGTAACATAGTTAAAGATATGCAGGCAAATTAACATTACGTTAACCGCTTGTATATCATAACAGTCAGTTTCAGATAAGATCATGGTCATCATGAGGAACACTTACAATGTTTGTTATCAGTTTCGTAGGCTACCAACCTATTTAGTATTAACTGTTCTTGAACTAGATGGCTGAAACCGATACAACCTCGCCTAAGGTGAGAAATTTTGAGTGCTAACTCGAGAGGCACGACTTCATGATTTTTTAGTCCCATTTCGATCTAAAAGCAAAGTAGGATTGTGAACTCCCCAATTCTTACTGCTATTAAAGCACGCCAAGCTTCATTGCTTATATATCGAAAACGATCCATCTTAATGCACTTCGGCATGATGAACTGGATTATTTGTAAAGGTAAAAATGTCGACAGGTATGTATTTCTGTACAGAAATCTAAGCCAAAAACACCACGCTGAAACGCTTCAGTTTAAATAATACGAAGTCGGGCGAAATGCCTGTCCAATAATCAGTATACTAGTTTCAGATCACCGTGAGTTGTCTAATCTACTTAATTGCATAGGCTCATCTTGACTCGTAATAATTCTTTATATTTATCTCAGGAACTTGGAAAACGTCCGAAAATCGCCTTTCGTAGCGGTAAATAGTTTTAATGAACACAACTTGCTGAAGGCGATCAGTCACACATCCACACCAAATTACGAATGGGCATGTCGTACTACGCATCTCTTGCAACCATTAAACAGCTGAAATTAAACGCTTCCCAATACATCGATAGCCTTCCAAATATATTTTCGAACCTCTTCATTTCTGACTTCTGATTCCACTAGGTTAGCATACTTCGAATATTAAGGAGTTACATATACAGGTGTTATCAAACTCTGAATACCTGTGGAATCTCTAGTAGTATCGAATCGTAAACTGTGAGTTTGTTCCCTGTTGGAACATCATGTATCATTTTTTTATTTTAAAGAATTGTCATTTTGCTTTCATATTTCCGGTTACTTTTCGCTCATTGATATATTATATCTGCATTGTGATGGAACAGACGCCTAAGTTACTTAATATTAAACCACTTTCGCCTACCACATCCCAGCTAGTGTCATCCTGGCCCAATAATATAGAATTTTGGTTGTTCTACACAAAATCTGATTCCGGCGAACACGGAGTGACAGACTCACGTGCACGATTTCTCGCAGTAGTGAAGGCAGTGCCACGCGGATCAGCAACAAACATGTTAATATAAATACGAGAGGTCATCGGTCAGCGGAACTTTTGGGAGGGCCAGCTTAGATAGCTTTCCAACAGGTTCAGGCAATTCTTGTCTCATTTAAAAACAACTCTGTGAGCGAACTAGCTGCATCTGCTGACCGGATCCTGAATATTACCAAAACAACCAACGTCAACATTTATTCTGTTAAAGAAATACCTCAAGCAACGTAGAACGACATCATAGACCTATAGCAACTCACGTTCAATTGAGTTTGCTCTCATCTAATTCGGTTAAGCAATTTTGTTAACTTATTAAACGGACAAAGTCATCTGCACTACAATAACTTATTGTATCTTTATTATTGTTATGCTTGTATGAATAAGTATGCTTGAACATTGTTTGCTGCCTATGCATATATTCATCCCACTAACCTTATTAATAGCCACTTAATCGATTCGATAATCCATTCATTTATATATATATATATATATATATATATATATATATATATAACACTTTCACATTTTCGGTCTGCTGACTCATTCGCCTCTCGGCTCTGTGAATTGAGTTAATTGCTAATAAAACTGTAGTAGCTGCTTCTCTTTGCCTTCTGATTTTAAACACCGTTGAGGGATTATACGATAACGCTTACGAAGGTGATAAGTCAACGAAGCACAGCCACTACAGACCCCTGTAACACTCTCACTCCTTATCTCGATACTCCTCGTGATCTTAGACGCTCTTAATCTCCTCGAAGAAGCTGATCACGTCGAAGATCTGTCTCTGGACCATGAGAAATAGATAATCATTATTGGTGCCTGTACCATAATAAATATGGCACGTCTCCTCAAAATTGCAGAACATTCTGCAGTTTCACAAGCTCCAAATCGACCGACACGAAAAATCTTCGCGAAGATTTTCTTCCATGAAGAGCTAATGATAACCGTAGCCAGTGGACACTGGGTGATGGCGAAAGTTCTCTATCACGTCAACACTGGCGCAGAAGTTGTTGTTCTTCCGGCAAATTCTAACGACCGGTCCTCAACTTACAAGCGGCAAATGGGAAACTGATTACCATAAACGGTAAGCGATATGGTTATCTTAATGTGTGTCTAAGCAAACCCACTGGCTGGGTCTTCGTTGTTGTAGATGTCACTACGCCAATCATAAGTATGGACCCGCTACAACACAATCTACTCCTCGACATGTACGAACGGAGGTTAGTAGATGACATGACTAATTTATCTGTAACTTTTTTCTGGTTGTAGATTATTTCTAGTTACTGTGAGGCGCATAATCGATCCGTTCTATCAACAAACTCGATAAGTACCCTAAATGTGCCGAAAGCGACCAAAATTGTTAGTCCACGTCACGACTATTGAATCATCTGTAGCTTCAAAAGTGCTCCAACTAGGTCAAAGGAGGCTGAGGTTGGCAAAAAACGAATTTGATCACACGATGAGAATTATTCGGCCATCGAACAGCTCATGGACATCACTCTTGCACATGGTCTCTAAAATGGACAGTAACTTTTTGGTGGGGTTTTGTTCTCTGGGTTGGGTGGTGTGGTCATGACGCTCTCAGTTTCCAAGAAATCGATCTTCTTAAACTCTCCCAGCTTAAAAAAGACACAGACTCTCAGCACGAGTTATCTTCGACAGCCCTGAAACTACGGACCAAAAAGATGGGAACAAGTAAGGAAACTTCACCGCATGACACATTTAAAAGTAGGGATCATCAAATCGTGCTAAAACTCTATCGACTCAACGTACTCGACACGTTGCACAAACTTTCTCATCCAGGTGTTCGTGCAACTACTAAGCTTATAGCAGAACAATTTCGCTGGCCTGGTCTGCATAAAGATGTGGTGTAGTAGGCACGCTCCTGTGCAAGCTGCCAGAAATTTAGGATTATTAGACACAACAAATGTTCATTAGGCTCTTTCAAAACTCCAGATGCTCGTTTCGACCATGTTCATTTGAACTCGGTAAGACCACGGGTACTCTTATCTCTTAACTTGTGTAAACCGTTTCACTCGATGACCAGAAGCAGTATACATCAAGGAAATTACTGCTAAAACAGTGGCCTGTACCTTTGTCTAAAGATGGGTAACAAAATTTGGCCGCCCTGCAACCATCACTAAAGACCATGGACTCAATTTCGAATCCAGACTTTTCCGTTGTCTGACTACGCTATTAGGAGTAACGCGATTCCGAACGACCGCCTATCACTCACAAGCAAACAGGTTGGTGGGACACTTTCACTCTTAGGTGCAGACGTTTCACAGTAGATTGATGCTCTTCCACTTGTCTGATATGTTAGTCGCAATGCAGTGAAAGCTAACATTGCATGCACTGCAGCCCAACTCGTTTATTAAACGCAACTCCGATTTTCAAGAGAATTCTTAGATTTGCCGTCCTTAATTTCATTGTTCCGTCTTAAAATTAGAGTTTCGACGGCCCTGTCTATTGTCGTCGTTTTCTCTTACTTCGTGAAATATAGGCCTTTGGTTAGTCTTCACCAGTTACCTACTGTTATAACAACTATCGATGTTTTTAGAAGGTTCAAATCTTAGTCTATATCAATTTTGTCTTCTTATAAACCTAGTCCATGTTACAGCGGTCCTTCATTCGAGGTAACCAGTTATTCAAAAATGTCAAATATTTTCGAGTCCTAAGTGTCATCCGTTATATGCAGTTACAACAACATGCTTTTCATTTTTGCAGATAAGCGTATGCACAAATACCTGTTTTTACTGGTATATGAAGGTCAGCGAAATAGTCAGTCTTTTGCTCATACATCACACCATTCAAAAAATGCTGCAGTTTACTAAAAAAATTTCTTTATTGATTTACCGCTTAGCATCTACATATAAAAATCAGGAAGAATAACATACAAAAATGAAATTCGTAAATAGCCTGGTAATAATACGACTGTAGGTGAGAATAAAAATTAGACATCTTTCAATTATAGTTCTCATTTACCAGATTATTTTTATAATTCATTATCTTATAACCATAATCGTTGTGTATACTAATAGAATGGTTGTTTTCAATTAAGCATATTACAATTTTCAAAGTTGTTTAAATCCTTACAAGATTTGTATTATCGACAAGTTTAACAGGTTACTTTTCATAGTTATAACTAGAATGCACTCGATCATAAAACACAATGAACAAATGGATTTTAAACTAAAATAAAACAGCCTAGTTATTTTTAATGAAAATAAACTGTAACAGATTACTTTAACAGTATGAAGTTAACTGCTAGAGTTAAACTCGCTGAAGATTATGTTAGCAGAACAAGAGTTTCTCCTGATAAACTAATGTTCAGGATTTCGGATAACGATATATAGAGATATAAAAAGTAATTTCAGCATGAATTAGTCAACCTTGAAAATGAGAAAGTTAAACACATGACTTGTGTTGATTGTTATGTTCACCATTGATTTCAGCTTAAATCTTTCTCAAGAACATTTTTTCATACGACAGCCAGGATCATAAGATTTAGCTGAATCAGAATGAATTCGGTGTATGTTGTATTGGCTGGATTAGGGTTTACAAAAACGTATGTCTATTAATTAAGTTGTATGCTCATATACAGCAGTATTTTTAATCAAATCTTCATGCAAATAAGCATTGACACTATTATGCAAGTGTATCAATACACGCTGAGACAAAAGATCTCATCAAAAATGATCATTCGATGAGTTTGTCTATGGTAATTCATCAGTAATTGGAACATCTTGAATAAAATTCGTCGTACAATCAATTAACCATAAGTAAGAATAAATTATTCTTTTTGCGTATGTCAATCATGTGACTGTTCAGTCACTAAAGTTAACACTTATTTAAAAGTGGAAGAATGGAAAAGCTAGAAAATCGACTGATGTGTTTAAACATATCTGTTTATTAAATATTAATACATAAACTCCCTTGGAAGTACAAGAAATCAGACTGATAAACAGGTAGTCAAAACTATTAATGACAAAATAAATATCAATTTGAAATGGTCTTTCTTAAAACTAAAGTTTTATTCTATGAAATGTCTCATCAGTTTAGTGAATACTTAGCTATTTATGAAAAGGATTCTAAAGTACTTTCAGATTCTAATTTCAATTTTATAACAATGTATTAATAAAATTAAGTCATTCAAAATTGT